AGACTGACTAGCTGACTACATTAAGATTCTGCAGTCCTCTGATGTATCATGTGTCTGGCCTCAGAATGGATTAGACATAAGAACTCCATCTAAAAGCATTTAAGTTATGTGAATTCACGGCTGACAAACCATATACAAACATAAGTATTATTTTAGAATTTTAGATGATTTGAGAAAAATATAGCATGTGATAACCCTGACAAAATTTTTTTATTTTGGATGTCTGAAAATTGCATCTTATGATGTATCATTAAAGTAAAGCCATATTTAGTAAATGGACTCATCACTGAATTGAAGCAAATTCTAAAACATCTCATCTAAATCATTTCTATTCTTCCATTCACTTTTTCAAATTCCCATCTATAAGTATAGAGTTTGACCTTGTCATTTTTCTTTGATATTCTGATAAAGTAATTGACTATGGGTTTCTTGGCTAACATATACTTAAGGGGAAATTCAGTACAATGGAATGATTTTTGATCATATTTTGTAATACTAAGAAGAAATACTGACATCAAATGAAGCAACAGTAAAAACATAGGGTCATGAAGATAAGGTGGGAAAACATGCTTAGGGAAATCAATGAATTCTTTAGAAGAACAAAGTTTGTTGGATTTACACAGAATTGAAATTTGGAAGAATACACAACACAAATGAAAATTTGTAACATTACATATGTATACTCTTCCTTTTTTTAAAAAAAAGATTGATTTTATATTTCTTTATGTGTATGTGTGGGTCTGTATATTCATGAGTGTCTGCAAGTGTCTGAGGAGACCAGAAGAAGGTGTTCGATCCTCTAGAGCTGTAGCTACAAGAGGTTGTGAGCATCCTGATGCAGGTCTTGGGAACTGAACTCAGGTCCTCCAGCAGAAAAGCAAGCACATTTAACTGCTGAGCCATCTCTCCAACCTCCAATGTACTGATTTTTAAAAGTAGGAAGAAATGTTATGTACAAATAAAATACAGCCAGCAAAATCATATCAGATCTTTAAACTTAAGTTTTTACTATGAATAGACTATGTAGTACTTATTTTGCATTCAGTTAATAATATGGCTATATTATATATAATGGCTATTTCGGGATCCTCATTGATAAAGTCACATTTGGAACTTCACTGATTGAACTTGTGGTACTTAGCTCATAGTTGTATTTTATAGGTAAGTTGATTATAGTGACCAAATTATGATCTACATAGATAATATGGTAAAATAGCCATAAGGAGAATTCCCAGGAATCCTTTTTTGGCTTATTCCAACTAAGGCTTACAAAGGGCATTCTTCTCTCAGCAATAAACATGTAACATGCTCGTGATGTTTATTTTTTTTAATTTTGCAAATTTCATACAATATATTTCAATCACATTTAGATACCTCCCTCTATCTGTACTCCCCCTTATTAACCCCAAATTTCTGTACGATATTTATGAAGTCCCTTAGAGTCATGTTTGTGTCCCCAGAAGCCCTTTTGTGTGGATTCATCCACTGGAGCCTAGCTAATCTACCAAGAGTCTCACCCTTAAATCAGACTGAATCTCCCATTCCCAGCAACCATTGGTTGCTTATAGTTGCTCAGGTAGATTGGGGTTTCTTATTCACTTCCCCACATCTCTGCTGGAATTTTGTTTAGCTTGAGCTTACGTGGGATTTGTCCATACTGTTGGCACTTTACTGTGAGTTCATATGAGTAACTGATCAGCTATGTGGAAAACTGTCTACAATTGACCAGTTGTCTGGAAAACATGCGGTCACTCACGTCCTCTGGATCTTACAAGCTTTCTATCCTCTTCTTAGCAGTTGTGGTGGCCTATACAGGTAGGATATGATGAAGAGGCAGAGGTAAGAGGATCACAAGTTGAAGGTAGCAGGCAGATCACTGCGAGTTCAAAGCCAGCCTTGTCTACATAGTGAGTTCCAGGACACCTGGGGCTACAGGGAGACCCTGTCTCAAAAAGACTAAAAATAAAATTATAATTTACATTAATTAAGGCTGTATATGCGCATGCACACAAGGTTATGAATGTGGAAGTCAAAGGGCAGCTTTGGGGGATCAGTTCTATTCTGCCACATTAGTCCTAGGGATTGACCTTAGGTCATCAGACTTGTAGCTAGCACCTTTACCCAGTAAGCCATCTTCCTGGCTCACATATGATATTTCTCAATGGAAACCTGTAAGGGACTTAGCATCCAAACTTTAATTAGAGCCTAATTACTTACATAGGTACTCTCTACCTAGAACTAATCAAAGTTCCAGAGTCATACTAAGAAACCACTTTCTTCTAACCAAACAAACTCTTCTTATCTGCTGAAGAGTGCTAGGAACACCACAGACACCCAACCTCCAGATTCCGGCAGGGGCCAATACTGTAAGATCTAAATGAAAGGTTAAAAATTCTTGTGTTATAGAACCAGTTAGTAGTAAAACAGATGACTTGAAAACTGCCAATGGGTTTTGTAATGGGCCCTTTGAATGACTCTGCACCAAGGAAACTCAAGAGGCTTAATATAAAATGGAGAGATAAGAGGAGGTGTATGGACAGTGATGGATGGTTAACCCAGGCACATATCCTAGATTCTCCTTTAAACACATTAAGACCCAAAGTTTTACATAGCCAAGTGTTCAAAGTCACAGACTCTCAATTCAAAATGTTTAGATTTTTATTTACCTCTTAGGAACTGTAAAACATGTTAGTTAACTTCCCCAGGCCTCAGAAGCTCCTTTTCTATAAAATTGGTAGTGGCTGAGTTTTTGTGTATGACAAATACATTAAATCCTAGAAGAGGACAAACCATCTCACTGGGCAGGGAGTGTTATCG